TTATCAGGTCATGTGATATCCATGATATCATGGGGAGAAAATATTCTAGGCCACAAGAAGGAACTGGAGGAGGAGTTCTGACTAAATTTTACTTCAGGCAGACATGATGATCAAGTCTTGGTTCTTCACACTGTTCATCATCTCAGCTCTTCTCTCACCAACCATGGCCCAAGGTATTCTTTTTTGTGTGAGTCCTTTCCCCAAGGATACATCAACACTGTTCACCAAGGTATGACTAAACAACCTCCTTGCAGTCCTTTCCCCATGTTTACTTTTTGGTGAAAAGGAAGAGGGTAGCTGACTCATGTTTGTTCTTGCCGGGTGCTACGAATGTGGAAGAACTACTACTCCGAGGTCTTCAGATATTGTTAGATCTAAATCTGAACCTGGGGTGAGTCTTCTTGTTCTTTGTTTTCTCTTCCTTGATGTTGAGTCCATTAGCAAAAAGGTTATTTAGCTACTGGATGGTTATTTTGTTTCATGGAGGGTTATGGGAAGGAAAGGAGATGGAGGAGATAGATGGCTATGGACTACCAGGAACCTGGACCCAACACCTATTCCAGGAGTGGATAGGTGTGCATTTACTTCAAAACAGGATCAGTATATATAAGCATCTGAGAAATTTGATACTTGAGAAATCATTATGTGGAATTGGTCAAGAACAATAAGAAGATGAGCTATGCATCACAATCATTCATCCACGTTTTACTATTGCATTTATCACTCAATCCAGCAAAGAGATGAATATAGAAATTAAGTTGGTGAATATAGAATTATGACGAAAAAACCACTTCTTTCTCAAAATACTTGGAAAATAACAAAAGGCCGACTCCACAAGATCAAGAGATGGAACCGAGGAGGCTGCAAGAAACACAAAGAGGTCGAGAAAATTCAAGAATTTGGTCGAAACACCATCGAAATACGAGCTGGTTAAATTTAAGACAATAACCCAAGAAAGATCATTCCTTTCTCAAAATCTTTTGCAAGGGAAAGAATCGATTCTTTCTCCTCAAGTTCAAACGATTAAAGAACAGCAACCGGGAAAACCCTAGGAATGTCATACGGGTAGAGCCGACATCATTCCCTAGAAATTTCGAGATACGAGAAGATTAATTTAAGACAATTACCACAAAACATCATTCCTTTCTCAAAATTTTTACAAGCAATAATGCAAGAAGGACTCAGATATAAAGAAGAAGAAAACGCAAAAGCCGACATTTCAAGAAACACAAAGAAGTCGAGACTCTTTCAAGATTTGGTCGACACATCCACATACGGGACGAGTGACCTTGTCGCATCGGGGCAACCGAAGCGCTTCCAGTGACAATGTGGCGGAGGGCGTTGCGGCGCCATTCTTACCTTACCTTGTCCGCCCCGTAGCCTAGCGTCGGCGTCCTACAATGCAAAGAAAGCCCATGGCTTTGGTCATCGCCATTGTAACGCACGGACGGGCCGTGTCGGTTAAGGCCGCCTGTGCTCAGCCACGAACCCCCTGGTGCCTGACAAAGAGGTGCGCAACGGGGAGTCTTGAGGAGCTCCGGCGCGCGGCGGCGGAGCGACGCCACGGCTGTCACGAAATTACAGAAACAGTTGTTTTTAGATAAATATCGCTGAATATTTTGGAAATAGCGTCCTTACGCATATAAATTCTATATAAAGATTATCCATCCCCTATAATTATTTTCCTATTGTTATCGTGGCTCTTAATAAAATATAATGGCATAGTAATCAAATCCAAATTGGATCGGTTCCGAATAAAAAAAATCAGAAATCGGACCTTTGATTCTCATAAATCGAATTATTTTTTACATAATTATTCTATTATGATTTTTTTTTTATTCAGAGTAATTTTGATTGTTCGTACGATTGACTTGGCGAGTTCCACCTTACGACACGACCAACTTGAAGAAAGATCATGTTGGATCTAAGTTAACTTCTAATTTAAATAATCAAAATTTACTCTAATAATTTGGCACTAAATGAGGGTCAAGCATGTCTTAAGAGAACTTCATAGATCTATCTTGAATGAATACCGAGAATCTAAACCCCTCAAATTCGAATGGTCTAAGTTCGACGATCTCGAATGCTCCCTAACCAAATCCCTCGATCTTAATAATCTAGAATATGAGAATGTCATGAGTGTCGATCGGTCTGAATCAACAGCCTCCAATCTTCAAAGTTCTTCTACAAAGTTATTACCTAACCTACGACGACTTTCCCGGAACTCTTACAAGAGGCTAACTGTTACATCATTGTAGAATATGTTCTTGTCGAGAAGAGAAATGGTGAACCTATAAAAGCGACAAAAGAATAAAAGGTTCAACACCCAAGTCCATTCAAAAGATTACATATGACAAACCAAAAGAAGATTGAAAAATATCAATTGTCAAACCTTTATTGATCCATTTGGATTTTCTCGCTCATCGAAGGAAGGGGCACATGTAGCATGTGCCCTTGTTGGCCCTTTGTGCGCCATCCCACCTGGCCTCTATAGCCCTTTGTGTCATCGCATACAACCCTATTGACTCTTTATATGTCGTTGTGCCTGGCTTCTAGCATCATCTCATGTGGCCCTATTAGCCCTCTGTGCTCTGCTGAGCCTAGCCTCTCGGTGCCTCGCATCACCGCACACAGTCTTATTGGCCCTCTATATGTCGTCATGCCTAACCTCTCTAGCCCATAGCATAATTTCACATGACCATATTGGTCCTTTGTACGTCACCGCGCTTGGCCTCTCCTGCCCCTAGCACCACTACACATTCCCCTATTGGTCCTTTGTGTACTGTCATGCCTAACCTCTCTAACCCCTAACACAATCGCACATAGCCCTATTGGCCCTTTGTATGTCACCATACCTAGCTTCACTAGCCTTTTGTATGCTATTGCCCTTGGTATCGTAGCCTCATTGGTATATTATGTATTTTTACTATACAACCACACCTAGACATATTGTCCTATTACGGTCAGTTGTATCATCCTCATGCACCACCCCACTCAATCGAGAACAAACCAAATTGTAATTCTCTAACAATATGCCATAATAGTATTACTAAGCCAGACATGCCGAGTCGAGCAACTTAAGTTGATATGTATTAACTAAATCATACTTCTCGACTAGTTATTTGTAATACTTCTTAACTTAGGAAATAGGGGGACGTGTTGTAATAAAAGTGATATGGGCTAACTCATTAACACCTTACACCATCTGTTCAACAAATGTCTCCTCATCACGTGTCCAAACTATTTATTGACATGTAGATGAGCTAAACAGGTAAAATAATATGATATCAATTAAAGACAATTCCAACCGACGTAACAAACTGATATAATAATCGGGATCAACAAAGGTGATTATGCTCGGTTCTTACTAAAGAGATTATGTAATGCCCCCTCCCTATATGCCCACAATAAAAAGGGTCCCCCAAGTATGCCCAAGACACATTGAACAACTCGAGTCCAACCCATGTGACTTATCAGATCAGATTATCGACTTAAGCATTGGAGAGATGTTATCGAAAATGCGCCTGACTAAGTTTTATAGGATTTGGATGTCCGACTTAGCAAGTTCCATCTTATGGCCAACTCAAACAAAAACTATGTTGGATCCGAGTTAGTTTCTAGCTCAGAGAATTAAAATCTACTCTAACACGTAGAAAAAAAACTAAACAAATTTCTTAAAATAAAATTTTTTTTTTTCACTTTTTCTTCATTAGGATATCTTTTATATTTATTTCCCCATAGCATCTCTTATTTTCTACGACGAAATTATTCCCACCCATCGTCACCTATGTTATGTTGCCCTACCTCGCTCTTGTATTTACGTCGCCCGAGCCTGTGCACCATCGTAGTCGTCCTCACCCACACCTCTTATTATTTATTAAATGTCAATAGAATATTCTTATTGAGAAGCTGCATCAACTTAACTGTACAAGAATATTTTAGACTAAGTCTTGATAGCTAAAGGATCAAACTAAATTACGGTCTAATTTGTCTAATTTCTCTTGAACAACTAAGATTAAGAATGTGTAATAGGATGTCTACTGTTCCCCCCTCAACTAGCACTTTGAGCCAACTTGCTGCAGAGGACAGCAGAGATATCTTACTTTCAAAGGCAATCAGGCTGGCCAAATTAAGAGTTATCATGACTTAAATGCAGTCACTTGATATGTCTGCAGGGACCAGAGAACAGCCATATGGGCCTTGTTGAGCTACTGCTTCTCCAAACTTATCTCAACATTTCTACCAACTTCTTCACCAATCCAACCACAATAAAGACATGTTTGTCCTCTTTAATTCTTGCAGTTCCAAACTGGGATGGACAGTGAGCAGATACCTCAGCATCTTCTCCCATTGTTGACTGCCACAAGTTGGGTTCCAGTTCAGGAATGAGAAGTTGCTTAGTGTCTGCAATGTAGTCAAGAAAGGAGAGAAGAGATCAAAGCATCTCTCATCTTCCAAATTCCAAATCTCATTAGTTTCTTTCACAAAAGAAATGTAAGAGAATTAATTCCAAGACATCAAATGGTTGAATAGGGAAATATTTATGAGGTAATTTTGGAGTGAAACTGCTGACCATTTGCATCCTGTGATTCTGATAATATTCATTTCAGAAACTTCTATTTCTTAAGGATTCATTTGGATTATTAGATGTGAAAGACAAGTCCCTCCATCAGCACCTGCATCTACCAGCTCGACAACTCTCTTTGATCTCTCAGAATCAATTGCAGTAGAAGTGCTGCTTTGAAAACTTCATCTGCAAACCTCAACACCTCCAACAGATTCGCTTTGATCATAAGTTGTAAGTATCCAAATCCTATGCCAGCCTAGTGAATGACATTGAGCTTAAGCTTTGGATCAGTTTCATACCTTCCACATCAAAAATCAAGAACAATTACTGAAACCAAAACTATGGTTCATGTTCTTACTTTTATCTGTGTGCTTCATTTCAGGCCACTGAAATGGCAATCCAAAGTAAACCACCACAAACAAACATGATTACATCTTCCAAAACAAATAGATCCACTTAGCATAAATTATATGGTTAATACAGCAAATGCAACAACAGTACAAGCAAAAAGGAGCCTTCTCTTCAGAATCTCCTTCTCTCAGAGTTAAAAGAACACCACACCAAAAACACCCGTCCCTCATCCTATCTGATACCGAGCGGGTAGTAGGATTCCACCGCTGCTAGCATCTGCCCGAAGAGAGAAGCAGTTCCCTTAACTTTTCTTCTCCAAGAGCAGTAGTAAGCCTCTAATACAAGGCCTAGACGACGAATTCAATACCAATACTACGAAGGGCCGAAGTAAAACAAGCCCCTCTGATCTCTAAATTGTACACTGAGACTCCAGTATATACCATGCAATGTAATCTTTACCGCGAACCGAAATGGTTTAGCGGAATTGGCCACCGCTGAAGGTTTGTCCGAAGGACCAGCTTGCAGGAGCCACATTGTAGGAGACCAGAGAGCGTCCGTCGCCGGTGGTGACCTTGAAGGAGAGGGCTTGGCCATTGAGGTAGCTGTTGCTCTGCCAGTTCTGGCCCCAGTTCCTGGACATGGACTGCCACCCGGTCCTGGACCCTTTGACGGACACCGCGTTCACATCTCCGGCTCCTCCAACGTTGGTGATCAGAACCAGGTTGAAGTAGGAGTGGCCATTGATGGTGAACCTGATCCCTCCTCTCTTCCTGCATGGGACCCTGCGTTCCAAGTCCACGATCAAGATCACAGCGAGTAAGACAAGACCAAAGCCCAAAGTGAACAAAGAACAGAGAGCAAGAGACTACGTGTGCCGAAGGAGGGTAAAAGGTTTGTGGTCGTGCATCACAACTCTCAAACCAAACTTTAGTGATGGAAGGAAGAAGGTTTCTGATGTGGATGACCAACCTGCGATACGCGACGGGCACAATTCCAGCCCTGTACTGAGCAATGCGGAGGAAGACGGGCTGAGAGAGATCGAAATGCTGCAGGGGAGGGTTACACCATCCCCCAGCATCGTTTGGGAGGGCGCTGTTGGGCGGGCAGAAGTTGGTGGCAGTGACCACGATGGTTCCCCGCAGGCAGTATTGGTGGTCGTTCACGCACATCAGCTCATAGCAAGCTCCACAGCTGAGGCCATTGTTGAAGAGGGCTGTGCTCAGGGCAGCTGTGTTAGTCCCATACCCTTGGCTGTACAAGTTGCCGTAGCCACAAGCACCACCTGCATTCCCAAGGTTCACCGATTAGAGATCCAAGTCGTGGATATCAGTCTTAGTTTCCTTAGCTCACCCATTGTCCCCGACGCATCGCTTCCACCATAGAAGGTAGCATGAGCTCTGGTCCATCCCCCTCCATACCCATGTGCAGCAGAGAGCAACGAGACGAAAGCAATCACAGCAAGCCCAAGAAGACGCATCCTCCTGCACCAAAAGAAATGGTTATCCACTAGACCACCATGCGTGTGAGGTTACCGATGAGCAAAAGATGACTACATTGGGACAATGAGTGTTGGCCAGGGGAAGAACAAGAGGAGAAGAGGAAGGCTTGATTGGCTTGAGGGGAGAGGGAGGGAGTCGAGGGGGCATAAATAGAGGTTTGAAGTGGTAGGTTCCCCCTTGGATTTACCCTAACTTTATGATACTGGCCACAACCTCGCACCGCCGGGGGACCAGCAGCACAGCTGCCTGCAAGAGCTGGAGTGCACACCGGCATTTTTGGTCTCAGTACAGATTGAGGTCATCCGTGAGAGATCAACTTGACCACCCTTTGATCCAGCACCCACGGAATGTGATCGTGTCTTCTAGCTAGGGTTAGAGAAGGCAAAGTTGTCAAGATCCACGCGCGATGGACCCTTCATTTCTCTTTCATTTGGTAGATAATGTCCTTAAATTTAGTGTGGCAATAAAGACAGATAAAGCCAGTTGTGATTCCTTTCTTCCTATAGCTTTCTCCTTCGCTGCGAGCTTCAGTATTCCATCTGATGAAAGAAGACGCCAACTGCTGTCTAACTCCATTCAATTGCGTGTGCAGCTCCCATAATACCTCACTCCATGACATCCATACCTCATATCAAGGCCAAATAATTCAGATCAGATTTAACTGTCGAAAACCGACATTCTCACCTTTGGAACCTTTACATGATGCCTTCTCCAACCACCACCACCACCTTCCATTCCTTTCACTTTCTTTAACTTTCCCACAAGGTGTGTTACAAGGATAATCATTTGATCTTACTTTATAATATCAGTTTGATTTGCTGATTAGATCTTCGGGTCCATACTGTCTGCCCTGTTTCTGAGTCTGAGAGAAAAAGTTCAACCAGAGGAATTCTATCGACAGCAGGATTATGTTCTTGCATCTCAAAATCTTGAACCAGTCGAGATGGATCTCTGTCCTGCATAGTTAGGTGGTATGGGACTTCGCTGTCGGTGCAAGCATGCTTAACATAGATCACAGAGATCTTGTGCTTGCGGAACCATTCTCATCTCCGGAAACATTCTCGAGGAGCACTTTGCTATGCTCATGCTTACTCTTTGATGAGGATGCGATACACTTACCGTTGAGCTCGTGTGTAGTCTTGAAGCAACAGTAGAGATTTTTGTCAGTGAGAGAGATGAATCTTTGCACAGATATGGTGGGCCTTCTTAGCACCACTTTTCGACGTCAGGACCAACCACTCGATTCGGTGAGATGGGATGAGCAAAAGGGAGGGATGAAGTCGATTCTTACTGACCAAAGTTCTTCGTTTTGACTGCCTGCAGTTGAGTCAAGAAAAAGTTGTAGGTCAATGAGTTTACAGCAGTCGATGATCCAAGAAGTCCTCTAACCTGAAAAGATCGAACTACGGACAGATGGTTAATTCAAAATGTTTCCTTAGTGTCGTATGATTGAGCCAACAAGAAAAGAATGCTGCGAATCTTCCAAGATTGTCGTGATGGATTAGAATAGTGAGAATGAGCTCAGGTGATGTGATTTGGCTTTCCCTGTGTCTGAGGAGACGACGACTGTTCAAGTGACGTAAAGAACTTTACTCGGATGGATCGGATCATTGATCGTTACCTCATGGATCAGGTAGGTCTACTTTGTCATGTTCTTATCATAACTTGGTCGCGAGGAGGGCTCGGAGCACGAAGACGACCGATCGAGGACAGCTTCGTGCACAGTCGTTTTCGAGATCGTCGTTGATTACAAATGTGTATCGTCTGCGAAGGATGGTAATAAGGCAGGCATACCTCATTACCACACGCTGTGTGTCCAGCTAATGAGATGGACGTCACGCGCTCGAGGAAGGAGACATGGATGAAGAACACGAGAACAGTAGAACATCCACGACTTGTCATGTTGGTGGGGACACTGCCAGTGAGTTGTAGGCTCCCATCAGGCCCCAAAAGTCGTCGGTATCATGTGACGCACGTTACTTCCCTTTTGACTTCCGTCGAGGAAGTGAAGAGAAGAGAAACGATGGATTTGGTGTGCTGCCAAATTTCGAGGTCTGATGCTCGACCACTGCTCGACGGAAAGCCGCTCTTGCTTGGATGTTTCGATAAGGCAACGGATGCGTCGACCCACCGCACATGGGAAGCCACATGCCGCGGTAACAAAAGCTTCGGACAAGCTGCGGGTGGGGGATGGATGGCGAAAGCCACTCGTATCCTCCGTTCCGATTCACCAACGACGTCGACATCAACTGCAGACGCGTGTGGCACAGCTCATAGTGCGTCATTCCCCATTCAGCAGGACTGTAAGCTCATAGTGTGTCATTCCCCATTCAGCAGGACTGTACGAGCTACTCGGGGGGGGTGGGGGGGGTGGGAGAGATCTCGCAGCATCAGCAATTAATAGGCATCGCGTCATGTCTCAAACGAGAACGTGCGATTGCCGCGTCGAACACATCGATGGTGGAGGAAGATTCTTGGCGGAATGGTGCAGCTTTCAACTACTTGAAAGCCACTTGGTACAGAAGCATTCATGCCTGTCCAGATTTAGAGGGTGCATCGGCTCTGTAGCTGTTCTGCTGCTATCACAGAGCAAAAGATTCGAAGCTTCACAAAAGTAATAAGCCAATCCACGGAACGATGGGTGCTTGAACAAAGAGGAGCAGGCTTCGGAGATGACAGGAAGGATTCGATACCTACATGTTTAAAAGACAGTTCAACTTTCTATCATTGGACAAAAGCCCCGAGCACTTACTCCCTGTTTCATCGTAGTAGATGAGACAACTGTGCGCATGCTTGTAAATGAATCTAAATGATACATGCATAGAAAAAATGAGTCACCCCAATAACGATTCGGTTACCTATTTCCTGCGTGTTCTGTGAATCCACTAGGCATATGCATCCAAACATAAAAGTATATATATACATAACAGGGACCTGTTGAAAGAGGGGTACCAATTTGGAGTAGATCAATAGCTGATATCTAAACCCCAACTATGAAGTACCAACAGAAACAAGAGAGGGGAAGAAATCAATACACATCAAAACATTAACCACCTGATGCACTAACTGTTCTTTATTTTCCAGATTAGGTCCGGCACAAGGACTTCAATGAAGACCTCAATTCAATCTACTGATGCTTTTCTGATGAGAAGAACCACACGTTGTGCATTACAACACATTAGAAACCACATAAAGTAGACCCATTCAGGTCAGCACAAGTAACCGAAGAAGTGGAATTCAATGACATGGTGCACAAGCCCCAAAGGGCAAGCTGACATTAGCTCGGCATATTTTTTTATCAGTTCAACAGCGAACCAAGAAAGAGATTGCCAGGAAAGATAGAGTGGACTAGAAATACCTAGGAGGCTGCCCAACATATGGCGCGCCGCTACCAGCCCTTGGCTGGCTACCATACTGGGACATCTGTTGTGAAACTTGAGGATAACCAGCAGATGCAGTAAGGAGCGAGCCTGAGGTTGCGTACGGGGCACCAGCAGATGGAACAAATGGCTGGCCCGGGAATGTTCCAGCTGCTGATGCAAAGGTTGTTTTACTTGGATCCCAAGTTGGCATCTGTCCAACACTGCTAACATAAGTTCCTGCAGCTTGAGGATTAGTTTGCCAGCTGGTGGAAGCAGTAGGCACAGCCGAAGCTTGCGGATTTGTGAGTAACCCAGAGTCAGGAATGGTGTAATCCCTGCTCTTGTCACTATACGCCTGAACATAATGCATGTAGACAGAAAAAAAGAAAAATTACTCCAATAACAGAAAAATGAGAAAATGGAATGACAAGAAGCATACACTAAGGGATTGTCAGTGATTTAGAGTTTGATGGCATCATTTTTGTTTTTCTTTTCAACAAGAGAGACATCTGGTTTTGCTTAGATTTGGCTTTTTCTGGAATCAAAAACAAGTTTGATGGTCAAAAGCAAGGAGAGGGTTATGTTCTTCACGTTAGATCACTTGGTCTTTCACAGGTCAAAGGCCCAGATCATCCTTACTATTCTCATTCTCATGCTTTTCTTTCTGAAATGTCAGGAAAAAAATATGGGCATGTTTCACCATGTGTCTTACAATTATTATTCGAGATTTCCAAGTTTCTTGCTTATAAAAACTAAAATAATGAAAAGAGAGTCAAATGTCTAAGAGATTTACTCAGTTATTATTGCTCCTGTATAACCCAAAAATCCATAATTGTACCTTTACATTGAGATCAGTATGACGAGAGAATGACAGATGAAGCTTACAATAGCCACCATCATAAATGCAGTGTCCCTCCAAAGCCTCTTTGGCAACTGCTGCAGTAGTCACATCTGATGGGAAAATGGATAATGGTATCAAATATTCTAGCAGCCTCATCAAAATACGTTGAAAGAAAAGAAAATAAAAAAAAAGTCCTTGCATCTTCATATAAAATATTTGGGCAGTCTAAGATTAACTGGACTACCACAAAAAGAAGGGGAAAAAGATCTAGATGCTTCCCAGACAAGAACTAATAGAAAAGACATTGAACCTGGATTGTCCAGTAATAAAGGAAAAGTAGGATGCAAATAGCTATGTAAATAATAAAAAAAGAAACTAAATCTTCAATTCTAATTTTAGACCTTCTAACCACACCCAATATAGCACCTTTTCCAAGCAGAGTGTGACAGAATGGAGAAAGATAATGGGTAGAGGAGACTGAAAGCTTGAGCAATGCAAAATTCATAGTTCTTTGACAATCAGGGCACTAAGCATGCCTAAAACTTTAAAGTACTAAAAGCACAGAATAAATTGCTTTCAGTTAAGAAAAGCACAAATATAGTTTGGCAGAAAGTTCCTACCTGGATACTGGATCAGAGCCTGAGTTCCACCATTCTTCTCAAAAATTGCAATTTTCTGAACAGTACCAAATGCTGAGAATACCTGATTAAATATAAGTTATAGTGAATATCACACTGTAATTTAACACATATGACATGGATAGAAAGAAACATCTCACCGTGTGAAGAACATCAACTGTCACAGCATATTGCATGTTCTCTATTGATGCAAGAAGCACATTACTCTCAGGTTCCTTTATTTTCCCATCAGGACCAAGTACAGGCTGAAGATAATGACCATTAGTAATGAAAATTAATCAGAACCATAGAGTAAAGATTATGCAATGTGGAAACAAACCTGCAAGGTACCCTCAATTGCAGAAGGGTTCACAGGAAGGTAAGGATTAGTGTAATCCCTGCATGATATTACGTGGAACCAGACCAAGTTTTACAATTATAATACACACAAATTCACTGATAGATCTATATCAGAATTCTAGAACACAAAAATTAACAACACTAAGAACCTTGTAAAACATAGAATGCACCAGAGGAAAAAAATATGCAAATAAGAACTACACCTAGCTAGCACTTCCCATAAATAAATGGAGATTAAAACAACCACAACAAGCCATAACATTCAAAAAGAAAACAAATGAAGACTATACTTAAAGGTTAGCTCTGACAAAAAATGATGCCATGTATAAGCAGTACTTGATAGCAGAACCTATTAGAACCACACAAGATATAAACTAAGTGGGAAAATAAATCACAACTGGATTATTTCACCTACAAAATTCAGATCATGCATCAAAACATTAATATACACCTAAACTTCTTTTTCAGTTTGAATATGTAATGGCATTTCACAATGACATTGTCATATATCCAGTGATTTAAAAAGCGCTAGGCGCCAAAAGGCGCCAAGGTCCAAAAACGCCCGAGGCGCTAGGCGCTCGCCCAGGCGCTCGCCCGAGCGAAGCGAGGCGCTAAAATATAAAAATATAAAATATAATTAATAAATATAATTATTTAAAATTTTAAATAAAAATATAAAAATATATAATATAATTAATAAATATAATCACATTAACAGTATAAACCTGCTGACGGAGAAACGAGGAAGCAACGGCGGGAGCAGTGGCGGCAGCAGCAGCGGCAGCAGCAGTAGTAGCGGCGAGCGGCGGCAGCAGCAGCGGCGAGCGGCGACGGCAGCAGCGGGAAAGGGAAAGGGAGCGGAAGGCGCGAGCAGCGGGAGGCCTCGAGGGAGGCGCGAGCAGCGGGAAGGCTCGCGGGACGGCTCGAAGGAGGCGAGAGGGCTCGCGGGAGGCGCGAGCAGCGGGAGGGCTCGAGGGAGGCGCGAGCAGCGGGAAGGCTCGCGGGAGGGCTCGCAGGAGATGCGAG